TTTGTAAATGGGGAGGGGAGGAGGGGGTGAAGGGAGGGCAGGGACAAGGGGAAAAAATGAGAATCAAGACCTATTATGTAAAGGTACAGAATCCCAATGATGAATGTAACTGTATTGTATACCTAGATTGTACCAATAAACTCAATAAAAAGAAAAAAAAGAAATAAGATGTATTATATACACATGCCAACATCTCACAATGAATGTAATCCTTTTGCACTGCAAATATGTACTAGTAAATGTTTTAAATATTTAAATCAAGAAAAAAGATTATCTTAGACAGCTGAGTTCAACAATAACTATACAGAGAATGAATGAAATATACTAAGAAAAAATAATTATTAAAACAATTACTAAATTAGAAATCTGTATGAAACGCCTGTAATCCCAGCACTTGGGAGGCTGAGGCAGGAGGATCGCTGTGAGTTCAAGACCAGCCTGAGCTACATAGTGAGTTGAGTTCCAGGTCAGTCTCAACTACATAGTGAGACCCTGTCTCAAAAAAACAAACAAACAAACAAACAAAAAAAAATACCAAACACTCCAAAACACTCAGAGTTTCAGATTTCAGAGCATTTCAGATTTCCACTCTTCAGATTAGGGCTCTTCAACCTGCACCAAACAAAAGAAATCTGGTAGCCAGGTACTCAGGAGGCTAAAGCAAGAAAATTGCAAGATCAAGGCAACTTAATGAGACCTTGTTTCAAGATAAAGGAAATTTAAAAGGGCTGGGGATATAGATCAGAATGAGACCCTGGATTCAAACCCCAGGAAAGAGAGAGAAGAGAGGGGAGGGGAGGGGAGGGGAGGAGAAGGAAATCTGCTGTAATTAGTTCCAGGCAAATACACTTAGAGACAAGTAAATATTAGACACAAAGGTAATAATTATGAAATGATTAAAAATTAATTTAGAAAATATTATACAATCATATGTGTAATTATGAAAAATTATAGCTCCAAAATAAAGCAAAAATGACAGAACCACATGGAGAAATTGACAAATTCTCCATAGTACTAAGAGATTTCAGCCAGGCGCAGTGGTGCACACCTGTAATCCCAGCACTCTGGAGGCTGAGGCAGGAGGAGCACCTCTAGTTTGAGGCCAGCCTGGGCTAGATAGTGAGTCAATGCCAGCCTAAACTACATGGTAAGACTCTATTTCAAAAAACCAACAATAAATAAATAAAATTTTAAAAAGAAATTTTAACACATTTTCTAAGCAACTGACTGTTGAGACAGACATATATATTAGTAGTTTTATAGAGATTTAAATAAATCTATGAATAAATGTAAAAAAATGGGCATACATAAAACATTGTACTCAGTGGTTTCAAATTTACTTTCTTTCCAATCATTCATAGAACATTTTTATGAAATGCCAAACTACAAAGCAGTTTCAACAAATTCTCTTACCATAGTGGATTTGCAACCAAAAAGAAACACATAATTAGAAAAATTCCCATATGCTTTTAAATTAAGAAATATCCTCCTAAACTACTTAAGGATCAAAGAAAAATTATATAAGGGGCATCAAAAAAATTCAGATCCTATAACAACCATAATATAGCATATCAAAACTTATATTGGTACAAGATCCCAGTAATGAATGTAACTGTATTGTCTACCTAGAATGTACCAATAAATACAATTTAAAATTAAAAAAATAAACAAATTAAATGAATAAGTAAATAAATAAATCTGGCTAAAAAAAATCTTATATTATGAAGCTAAAGAAAACCTAGAGGAAAATGTATAGCTTTAAATGCTTAAATTAGAAAATAAAAGCTGAAATATAATGAAATCTATATACAATTTAAGAAGTTAGTAAAAAGGACAAGGAAAAAGAGAAAACAAAAATAAAATTAGAAGAAACATTAATGATTTAGAAATTCAGATCTAACAGTCAAATTTGGCTATCTGCAAAAGCTTCTAACAATATTAAGAAACAAGATAAATGACCCCAAAATAAAATTTAAATAGTACATATATGAAATGAAAATATTCCACAAATATCTGAAATAAAATGGAACAGAAATTTATATGCTGCAGACATTAGGTAATTCAGAGATAAATGAACATTATATTAATAAACCTGAAAACTTAACTGAAATGATTCCTATAAAATAGAATTTATATAAACTGACTCAAAAAGTAACCAAAAATTGAATGATCCTATAACTGAGAAAAAAACGTTCATTATTAGTTTAAAATCTTTCCTATTTCACATTGTCCATTATATCATTAGGATCTTATTACTATTATAGTTTATTCACACCAGAGAAACTATTTGGTATTTACACATGTGTGACTTATTTATTTCACTTTGGAGTATATCCTCAATATGTATCCATTGTGAAATAGGAAAAAAGGGGCTAAAGGTGTAGGGAAAGTAGGAAGGGTAGGGGAAAGGAAATAAGGAAAAAGAAAAAATATGAGAAAATGAAAAAATGGAGATGAAGTGCTTGTAAAGGGGGAAGGGAGGAGGGGTGAAGGGAGGGCAGGGACAAGGGGAAAAAATGAGAACCAAGACCTGTCATGTAAAGGTACAAGATCCCAGTAATGAATGTAACTGTACTGTATACCTTAAATGTACCAATAAACTCAAAGAGGAAAATAAATAAATAAATAAACAAAAATAAAATTTTTCCTCAAAGGAACCATCAGACCTGGGAGATTTTACTTGTAAGATATACTAACCATTCGAGAAAAATTGTGTCAGTTTTACATGAATTATATCAGATTATAATAAAATAAGGTACCACTCAACTCATTTTCTAAGTTTTGTATTATCTTGATACCAAAATTCAACAATATCCAGAATAACTTATGGGCCATGGATTTAGCTCAGTGGTTCTGCCACCTGCCTTGCAAGCTCAAGGTCCTGAGTTCGATCCTGGTACCAAAAAAAAAAAAAGAAGAAGAATTTATATGTCAATCTTATTTACATAAATGCAAAAATCACAGATTAAACACTAATAAACTGCGCTGGGGATTTAGCTCAGGGGAAGTGAGCCTGCCTCAAAAGCACAAGGTCCTGAGTTCAATCCCCAGTACCCCCCAAAAAAAATCCATCTTTCTCACTGATCTACAGTAGTACCTCTGTCATATGTGAAATGGTAATTTTTGATGTATTTTGCTTCTGGATTTCATGCTCTTCCATTGGTCTGGATTTCTATACCCTCATCACTTCTTTAAAAATCTATTACATTAATTAAAGTCTTCTATAACATTTCAATAAAGTTTTGTAGTTTTCTCCTTAAAGTCTTGCATCTCTTTTGTTGGGGTTATTCCTAAGCACATTATTATTATTATTATTATTTAGACAGGGTCTTGATATGCAGTTCAGGCTGGCCTTGAACTCACTATGTAGCCCTGGTTGGCCTTAAACTTGAGGCAATCCTCTTGAGTGCTGGGATTACAGGTATGCACCACCACACCTGGCATACATTATATTTTTTAATGCTATGATAAATATTTTTAATTTGTTTTTTCCATAGAGATATATCAAATTTTGCACAATGATTTTATTTATAAGTAAGTTTATTGGTACGCTTTAGGTATATATAATGATCACATTCATCATTGGGAATGTGTACCTGTATATGATATATCTTGATTCTTATTTTTTCCCATTCCCTACCCTCCCTTCAACCTTCCTTCCCCTTCTTATTTACAAAAGCTTTGTTGCCATTTTTCTTTCAAACTTTTTGGGCCAACAGAGGTCAATATACTGCCAATATGACATTTGTAATCAATAATTACAGATCAGAAGTTCTTTTATAACACAGGTTCAGAAGTTCACAGTGGATCACTGAGTACTGAAAAAATGCATAAGGATTTTGTATCAGCACATTTATCACTTTTAAAATTTTAATAGTTTATATTTTTGAATAGTGAGAGGTGTATTCTTTCGGAATCCTTATATTTTATTTTTCATTCATTCCTTCTTGGACTGGATGGTACATGCAACTTAATTTTATACAGAAGTAGGTGTAGCAAATTAACAATTTATTCTTTTTTTTTTTTTTTTTTTTTTGGTACTAGGGATTGAACTCAGGTCCTTGTGCTTGTGAGGCAGGCAGCGGAACCACTGAGCTAAATCCCTGGCCCCTGGATGCTTTAAATAGTGCTTGAACAACTTATTTCAAAATGAAAAAAAATTAAATTAAGACTCCTACTTGGGGCCAAGGAAGTAGCTCAGTGGTGCTGCCTATTTGGCAAGTGCGAGATCCTGAGTTCGATCCCTGGTACTGGAAACAAAAAATTAAGACTCCTATTTCACACAATAAACAAAAATCAGTTCCAGATAAGTTAAAGATATAAGTATGAAAACCAAGACTATAAAACTTTTAGAAGACAACATAGTAGAATATGTTTTGTGATTTCAAACTGAGGAGGGAGTTTTTAAATCAGACACAAGAAGTTCAAGATACACATACACACTTGTAGGCCCAGCCACTTAGGAGGCAGCAGTTGAAGGCCTCCCTGGGCAGTTTAGCAGGATCTTGACACAAAATAAAATGTAAAAAGGGCTGGGGACATAGCTCAATTGTAGAGTACTTACCTAACATGCCAGAGGCCTTGGGTTCAATTCTCAGTACTGAAACAACAACAACAAAAAGTTTAAGTTACAAATGTAAATGTTGACCTCTTTGAAAGTAATATCTTCTGGGGCCAGGGATTTAGCTCAGTGGTGCCTCCACCTGTCCACAGCCCCGAGTTCCATCCCCAGTACCAAAAAAAAGTAATATCTTCTGTGGGTCAAAACTCATTATAAACTCGTTATATGAGGCGGGGAGGAAAAGAGAAAGAAAAGAAGTGAGGGGCAATGCTCACCCTGAGAGGAGATGATGACCCACCCTAATAAAAGTCTGTACATCAGAAAAAATTACAACCAAATAAAAGAATGAGACACAAGCAGCCCATAAACACAAAAAAAGATGTTGAGCCTTATGATAAGTCAGGGAAATAAAAACCGTAGAAGACCATCCCCAAACTGCCAGACTTAAGAAGCACGATAAAGCAACTCTTCCTGAGGATGAGGAGAGTGAGAATGTTCATGCTTCACTAGTGAGAATGCAAGCGTGTACACTTTTGAAAGACAGCATGGCACTGCATAGCGATCCAATGCTCCCACCCCTGAGTACACAACCTGGAGAAATCGTGTATATGTGTACCAAGAATCACACAAGAGGCTGTGTATACAGCACTGGATAGAAGAGAAGGCTTGGAAAACATCTAAATGCATTCAACAGAATAATAAGTTGTAGTATATTTTCATAATGAAATGCCATAGAGCAATAAAAAACTAATAAACTAGAGCTACAAACAGCAACATGGATGGATCTCCAAAACTAAGATTTTAAATTAGGAGAAAGAAGTCACAGACAAATATGTACAGTACATTTTCATCTAAAAATTTAAAAACTTAATCAGCTCTGGTGACACATGCCTGTAATCCCAAAAATCAGGGAGGTTGAGGCAGGAGGATCAAAAGTTTTGGTTTAGCCTGGGACAATTAGACATTTAGCAAGACCTTGTCTTAAATATATGTATATATATTTCTATTTACATATATGTAAAATATTTACATATTTTATATATGTAAATAGAAATATATAT